CGGGTGGGGGAGGGGGTCGGGTGGCGGGTGGGCGGGGCGCCAACTCGGGCGCCATCGGCTGCAGGGCGGGTGGCGCAGGCCGGCGGCTGGTTGGCGCCGTTCGCTCATTCGTTCGTTGTGTTCGTTCGTTCGTTGTGCTCGTTCGTTCGTCATGTTCGTTCGTTCGTTCGTTCGTTCGTTCGTTGGCGGCCGTTCGCCGCGGCTGCCCGTTTGGCGCCACACATCCGTCGCCTTTCAAAAGTTTGCAAATGGCGAGCCCCCGAGCCGGGCCGGGTGCCCTGCTCCCCCGCCCCGTACACATGCACCATGCTGTGCCTGCCGCACCACCCGCACCCACTGTGCAGTGCTCGCCGCACCCCCGCCTGCACTCTGCCGGAAAGCCGCTGCCGCGCCTTGCACGCACCCCGCTCGCCCCGCTGGCCGCCAACGTCGCCGCCGGCCAGCCGCCCACCGCCGCCGCCGCTGCTGCCAAGCGCCCCGCTGTCGCTGCCGCTGCCGCTACCGCCGACCCCGCTGCTGTGCGGCCCGCCCTCGCCATGCGTGCTGCTGCTGCCGCTGCTGCCCTCGCCATCGACGACGAGGTTTTCATCGGCCCCGTCGGCTCGGCCGAGAAGCGCGCCGCCGCCGCCCTTGGCTCGGCGCCGACCCCGCGCGCTGTCCGCCGTCCGCCACCGCCCTTTGCGCTCTACCACGACCCGCCCGCTGCGCCGTCGCCGGCATCGTCACCCTCGCCGACGGCGTCGCCCTCGCTCAGCCGCATGGTCGCCACCCCGGCCTCGGCCTCGGTCTCGCCCATCACGCCCGCCCGCCTCTCGTTCGGCTCGCCTTCGCTCTCGCCGGGCCCGCTCCCGCCCTCGCCGCCTGCGCCAGTTGTCCGCACCTGGTTCCCAGAACCAGCGCTTGTGGTCGGTCCGCTCGCACCGCGCTCGGTGGACGCACACATCGCCTTTGCGCCCGAGCTCGAGCTCGAAACACCGACAGGCGTGCTCATCGAGGCGTGCGCTGGTGCGCCCGTCGCGCTCCGAGCTTATCTTGCCACCGCTGTTGTCATGCGCAACACCTACCGCGCCGCCGGAGCACGACTCGTTGCCTCTATTGCCCATGCCCGTGCCCAGGCCGCAGCTGCACTCACCATTCAGGCCTGGTTCCGCGGCGTCTCCTGTCGCGCTCGTCTCCGCGCCCAGCGGCGCGCCGCACTTGCCGCCGTCATTGGCTCCTGGGCCGCTAACCACGTTGTCAGAGTCGACCACCAGACTCGGACCCGTGCTGCCACCTGCATCCAGACTCACGTTCGCGGCATGCTTGCGCGGACCGCATGGCGCAATACGCGCTTGCTGGCACCAAAGCTCCAGGCGCTGGCGCGCGGATGGCTCGCTCGTTGTGCTGCCCGCCGCCGTCTTGCTGCTGCCGTTTGCATCCAGTCGTGGTTCCGCGGCGAGGCCGTCCGCGCGAAACTCCGCGTCGCCGCCGCCGCTGCTACCAAAATCCAGCGCTGGTACCGCGGCATCGCCACCGTCCTTCGCTACAAGCAGCAAGTCATGGCCAACATGTCCATCAACTATGCCATCGGCTCGGCCATGTCGGGCGCCCGCCGCCGCAAGCAGGACTCGACCATGGCCAAGATCCGCTCGCTCATCAAGTGCACCCAGCGGTCGCCCGTCAAGAGCACCGCTCGTCCCGCCGTCGCCAAGCCTGCCGCTGTCGCGCCGGCTGCTGTGCCTACTCTGGCGTCTGCGCCCGCTCCCGCGCCGGCGCCCGCTCCCGCGCCGGCACCCGCTCCGACGTCCGCGCTCGCTCCCCGCGCCAAGCTGGCGCCGCGCCAGCCGGTGGCGTCAACCCGTACGTTTAGCACAACCTCGTCGAAGAAGTCGCACTCGATCCTCCAGGCGCTGCACGAGAAGAAGCGCAAGCTCGAGCTCATCCGCGCCGAGCGCGCGCGGCTTCAGTCGGGCCTTGCAGCGTCGCGGACTGCGACAGCGAGTCCGCAACTACCGGCGGCGGCGCACACCGAGGCATTGGCATCGACGCCGGCGACCGCACCTGTTGCCGCCGCTGCGGCCACTCTTTCTGCTGCACCAAGCCCTGCTGCCGTGCCTGCAGACAAGGCGCCGGCGGAAGCGTCCGCGCCCGCGCCCGCGCCCGCACCCGCACCGCTCATCGCCGACCCAGCGAGTAAGGCCGCGATCCAGGCTGAGCTCTCTGACCTGGAGCGCGAGCTCATTGACCGCGCATGCGCTGAGCCGGCCGGCACCCGGTCATCCCACAGCACCGACGACAGCGGTGTGGCATCGGTCTCTGCGTACGACTTTGATTTCAGCGACGATGAGGCCGAGGCAGCCGAGGCTGGCAACCGGTCGGCGTTTGGCCTGGTGGAGGCTTTTGACGACGAATCGCGCGAAGAGCTCGCCCGTCTTGTCGCGCGCAACACCACCATCAACTCGATCTCTCGCGTCCGCATCCTGCAGCGCAAGCCCAAGGTGTCCAAGTCGTCGATTGTGGCTGCGCGGCTGGCCCGCGCCAACGCCGCCCGCAACTCGGCCGCCAAGGTCCGCTGGGCTTCCATTGTCGCCCACGAGACCTCGCTTAACTCGACGCCGACGCCCAAGATCTCAACGCCGCCGTCGCGGCTCCGGACCCGCCCGTCACAGTTTCCGCACAAGGACTCGGCGCCGTCACCGGTCTTCATCCAGCGCTACTATGGGTATTAAAGGTGTGTAATCTGTGCCAGGTGCTGCGCCAGCAGCTGCTTGTCGCGAAACGTCGAGACGTCGACTCCGGCTGCAGCCGCAAGTGCCTTGAGCTCCGCCACAGACCTGGTCATCAGCTCGGCGGCGGTGGCCGGCGCCGGCGCCGGCGCCGGCGCCGACACCGACACAGTCGGCGCGGCAAAGACCGAACTTAGATCGGCCATCCAGTCGGCTCCTCTGACCCCTACCGGTGTTGCTGACAGAGGCGGCGCTTGTGCCAGCGGATCCAGGTCGCCAAACGTCGCAGCAGCGGCTGGCGCAGCAGAGGCAGGCACGGCCGTCGCAGGCAGCGGCGGCGCAAGGTCATCAAGATCGATGAGCGGTCGTGGCGGTCGAGGCAATGGCTCGCTCGAGGTACATACAACAGCTTGGGCGCGGGCGCGGGCACGGGCCATCTCGGCCTCTTGCAGCGAGTCCAGCAGCTCAAGGGCAAAGCCTCTGTTGACAGAGGAGGCCTTGTCCGGCGGCAGGCTGTTGACGAGCGACAGCAGGGCCTGGGCGAGATTGTTGTCGGCGGCGGCCATGGCGGCGCGGGCGTCGGCCTCGGGAAAGCCCAGATCCAGGAGCAGGATGATGTTGACAAAGCCCGGTCCGTGGCGCGAGCGCGACGACGCCCTCTCGCGGGTTAGTGGCGCCGAGGCCGGCAGCGACGTCGCCGAGGCCGGCGGCAGGGCAAGGCCCGTCTCGGGATCGATGCCCGCGGCGCGCATCTGCTCGCACACCAGCTGCAGGCGGGCGGCATCAAAGTCGAGGCCGCCGGCCATGAGTTCGGCCACCCTGTCGCCGGCGTCGGTGAAGCCGGCGCGTGTGTCGCCGCGGGCCACGTTGGCCGCCGCCGTGTCAAAGGTGGCCGAGGTCATGCCCCGGGCCACCGCGGCCTCGAAGCCGGTCGGCGCACGGCCACCTCCGTCCTGCCTGCTGCCTTCGTCCTGCCCGGTGCCTGTCGACGACATCTGCTGCTCCGCCTGCTCCACCTGCTCCGCCCGGCCTCCTCTGGCGAGTCGAGTCGTGCCGCCGGCCGCCGGCTGACTCGCCCGCACGGCTGCCTCGCCCACACGGCTGCCTCGCCCACCCCGTCATCGCCCGCCTCATCCCCCCCTCTCTCTCTCATCTCAATCATTGTAATCACTGCTCACTGCATCAACACCCACACGCGGTCACACACGCCCAGATGCTACCGCTTACCGCCGGCCATGTTGCGGGCCTCGGGCCGAAGGCGGAGGGCGAGCATTGCAGCAGTGCCGCCGAGCGGGCCGATGGCAAGAACGAGAAAGGCGACGCCCCAGCCTGCAGCATCCTCAATGACAGGCGTGACAAGAATGGTGATGGCCGAGACGAGGAAGCCGACCGAGGTCGAGATGGTGAGGAGCGTGCCGCGGTAGCGCGGGTCGGTGAGCTCGGTAACGGCAGTGGAGAACTGGGCCGAGTCGGCCACCACGCTGACGCCCCAGACGAGGGCGAGGATAACGACAATGATGTCGAGCGAGCGCGGAATGAACCCAAAGATGGCGGCGCAGGTGCCCGAGATGACCATCGCTGCAGACGTCACCGCCGTCCGCCCGTACATCTCCGACAGCACGCCGCCGCCGACACAGCCGAGAGCGCCAGCCACAAAGACGGCAAACGAGAGTAGCGACGAGAGCCGGATCGAGCCCAGTGCTGCAATCCGCGCCTCGCCATGCACGTCCTCAAAGTACTTGGGCAGCCACGCCCACATGGCGTACAGCTCCCACATGTGCCCGACGTAGCCGAGCACCGCCAGCCGCGGCGCCGGCTTGGAAAACGCCTGCAGCAGAATACCTGGATGCAGGACCGCTGGCGCCGGCTCGTATGGCCCGTCGCCGACGGCCCCGCGGACTACGACTGCACTCAGTAGAGCGCTCGCTGACGAGAGGTAGATCGTGGTCCGCCACGCCCGGGTGAAGATCGACCGCAACAGATGTGGCGAGCCAGAGCCGAGCGAGAGCGCCCCAATCATGAGCCCGATGGCCAGGCCGCGGTTGCGGACGTACCACCCACACACAATCTTCATGCCGGGGGGTAGACGCCGCCCAGGAACATGCCTGTCAGCGCCCGCAGCACCAGCAGCGCGCCAAAGCCGCCGACGTCCTTGGGCGCCACAAAGGCCACCGCCAGGTTCGACGCTGCCGTCGCCGCCGCTGACACTGCAAACAGCGTCCGCGTCCGCATCACATCGGCCACGTTGATCGTAGCCAGCGCGAGTGTGCCCGCCACAAAGCCCAGCTGGACGGCCGACGAGAGCCAGGCCACCTCGCTCGTGCTGTAGCCCTCCTCCGCCTCGAGCGCAGGTGCCACCGCATTGGTCGAGAACCAGCACGACAGTGCCAGCGCCGATGCCACCACCACCAGCCATAGATTGCGAGTCGCTCCCGGCACCGCCAACGCCGCGGGCGTCTCTCCTTGAGTCAGGTTCCTAAGCATTGGTAGAGAGCCAGCGCGACAGTCCCAGCGCAGAGCTCACCATCACCAGCCATAGTTGAGAGTCGCTAACGGCTCCGCCAACACCGCGGGCGTCTTGCCGCGGGCAGCCGCACCGCCCACGCCACCACCGCCGCCCGCGCCACCACCGCCGCCCGCGCCACCACCGCTGCCCGTCCCATCACCACCGCCCGTCCAATCACCACTGCTCACGTCATCGCTCGCGCCATCACTGCCATCGGCGCCATCGCGCCCGCCCCGGCTGCTGCCGCCATTGCCGCGCTCACCGCCATGCCCGGCCTCCAGCTCGGGCAGGTCCAGTCCCGGCAACGGCACCACCTCGACCCATCCGTCGAGAGGGCGGGAGGGTGGCTTGTCGGCCGCTGCCGCCGCCGCCGCTGTCCCGCCGCCCTGCGCCCGCTCCGCCGCCCGCGCCTGGGCACGTGCCCGCGCCCGTGCCCGCGCCCGTGAGCCCCGCCCGGGCGACGATACGCTGACAGCCGCGTCCGCATCCCGTGGCATCGCCTGCCCAGCACCGCCCCCGTCCGCTGGTCCGTCCATCGTGCGCATCGCCATGGGCCTGATGGCGATGGTGGCAAGAGTCGGGTGCCCCGTCGCTCCGTCACCCCGTCACCCCATCGCCCCATCGCCGGCCACAGCCAGCTGCCGCCTCCGGCTGCCAATTCGTTCATTCACTCGTTCGTTCGTTTGCCTTGGGGGAAGGAGTCTTGGCCACGCCAGGGCTCCCAGGAGCCATCACACAGACAAGCCAGCGCCGCTCGAGCATGAGCAGTGCATGCCTCGCTTGCTCCACGCACCGCTGCTTCATTTCCCCGCACTCACTTTCTAGCCTCTCCCCCCCCCCCCCTCTCTGTGCTCGATTGGGCTTTGGCAGAATCAGGTCCCTGGACACGATTTTTTGTTTGTGCACGGGAGGAACACGTGGAGAGTCATGAGATGATGCATTTCTTGTCGCGCTTGATGTTGACATCGTCTTCGGCATCGTTGGCACGCATGATGCGAGTGATCTCGTGGAAGACGTTCTCGACGTTCTCCCGAGTAAGGGCTGACGCCTCAAAGTACGGGCAGCCAAATTGTGCGGCGAGCGACTCGGCGGTCTCCTTCTCCACCTGGCGCAAGTCGACCAGGTCAACCTTGTTGCCCACAAGCACCATCGGCGGCAGGTCGTCCATGGCCTCAGTGACCCGGCGAACCTTGGAGTGGACCTTCTTGACGTCCTCAAACGAGGCCGCCGAGGTGATGTCAAAGACGAGTACAAAGCCCTCGCCAACCTCAATGTACTGGTCGGTGATGGTGGTGTACTCTTCCTGGCCCGCCGTATCGAGGATCGATAGTCTGCACGACTGCCCGTCCACTGTCAGCTGCTTCAGGAACGAGTCTTCGATGGTCGGCTCGTAGTCGGCCAGGAACATGTTGTTGACAAACTGCAGCGTCAGCGCCGACTTGCCCACACCACCTGCGCCCAGCATAACGATCTTGTACGTCAACAGTGAAGAATCGCTACGCGGGACGTGTTCCCGGATGGCCGTCATCCAGTCCAGCATCTCCTCCTGGCTCTCCGCGTAAATGTAGAACGTCCGCCGAATGGGGTGGTAGACCTGGAAGCAGTTCTTCTTCTTGATCGAGTCCGCCGGCGAGATAGTGCATCCCGAGAGCGAAATGATCCCCAGCGGTGCCGTCGCTTTGCTATTCTTGTAGTACGACAAAGTATGGCCCTCCAGCACAAACAGCCGCTTCTTCCACGTCTTGGCCTTGTTCCCGCCGCCCTGCTTGGTCAGGAAGCCACGCTTGCCCTCCCCCGCCCCACCTGCCCCCGCCACCGCCACCACCCGCCCGCCCAACGCGCCAGTCAGCCAACCCGAACGGGAGCCACACCACAGCCACCGCCACAGCCATACGAGACCAACCACAACCACACACACAGGTACACACACACACACATAAGTACCGGCCCTTCCCCCGTCCCACCCCACGCCATGCCCACCTCCTCCTCCCCTTTCCCCCAACCACCCCCCTTGTTCGCAACGGCCAGCCACAAAAAAAAGGTGTTCCTGACCACCACCACCACCACCACCACCAGCAACCACTTGCCCACCAGCCAGAGAGCCACCTCCCCACCCACCCTACACATGCCGTTCCCTTCCTCAGCCACACACTCCCATCCCCCCCACACACACACATACGCACACTCCCTTCACACATACGCATACCCGGTCCTGCAGGGTCCGCCATCCTGCTGCCTGCACACGCCCCTTTGGCGTCAAATGTATCCTCCCCGCTCTCCGCCTCCCCTTTCCCCCCCGCACCCGCCGCACTTGCTCCGCCTGCCGTCCTTCCAATGGCCTGGCCGGCGGAATGACTAGGTCAAAAAAATATAATATTTATCTCGGTCCACCAGGTGCTGTCGCCAGACCCTCGCACCGGCAAGCCGCCCCCCCACACCAGCCCGTCTTGTCGTCTGGGATGCTGCCAATCGCTTCTATATCGGCATGTCCATTAGCTTTGGCAACAGCAGTGTTTGGTCTGCTTGCCTGTGTGCGTACTCAGCGCATCAGCGCATCAGCGTAGATCAGCTCGGATCAGTTGCTTCCATCACATACGCAGAGAGGCGGACAGACCGCATCCTTTGTTGATAATCGTTGCGAAATGCATGGGTAAGCTCTTTGAGCTGTGCTGGTGGTGGCAGCTGCGATCATGTTCTGTGGCTCAAAAGACTACGAGCCTCTCATGGTCTCTTGCTTCCTGCTGCCCTAGATGAAAAGATGTAGATCAAGAAAACCGTGCTGCACCACAGCATCGAACCTGAGAGCCAATGTGATCCTCGTCTACACACGGCAGCACTCTCTACACTCTCCCAACCATCCCGATCTGACGAATGCCGCTGTTACTGGTGATATACTTAGACTCTAGCCGGCGCCAGAGAACTCTCCATGTTGCTCCCCCCCTCCCCGCCTCAGGCACTGCCACTGCTGCCAGCACACACTGCCTGCGCGTGACCCGCCACAGCCACCGCCATAGCAGATGACCGCACCCCACTCCTCCCGGCCCGATGCCCTCCCCCTGATCTCCCCCCTCCCTTGCCCGATGCCAGTCCCCGCACCCTATTCCCTACTCCCCCCCCCCCCCGCCCTCAGGCACTCCCACTGCCAGCACACCCTGCCTGCGCGTGACCCGCCACAGCCACCGTCACAGCCAATGACCCCACTCCACTCCCCCCACTCCCCACTCCCATGGACGGTGGTGGGCTTGCGTCGTGTACGGCAGCAGAAGCAGGGCCTGCGGCGGGCGAGGCGGCGCTGGTGCCGGACATGGAGGTGCGCCTGAAGAAGCTGCTGCGCGAGAAGCGGGTGCTGCGGAAGAAGTTGCGACGGATGGAGGCCGAGGGCGCGAACGCAGAGGTGCTGGCTGCACTGCGGGCGCGAGTGGCGGACACCTCGTCGGTCATCCGCGAGCTCAAGGCGACCGAGGCCAAGAACGCCTTTGCCCTCTTCGACTCGGACGGCGACCGCCTCATCAACAAGGCTGAGTTTGCCACCGTCTTCACCCTCCTCGCCGGCCACGCCTTGGATCCGGCTGAGCTCGACGCCACTTTTGCTCGTGTCAACAAGGACGACAACGCCCACATCGATCTCCGCGAGTTTGTCGCCTGGTGGGTTCTCCACGGCTCCGACGAGGGCATCAAGCGTGCCCTGCGCCTGCATCTTGAGCGCCATAATTCTGCTCACATCGCTCGTCCCGCGCATGCTCCGCCGTCCGCCAAAGCTCTGCTGCCTTCCAAGTCGCCTGCTCGCAAGCAGAGCAGGGGAAAGAAGAAGCGGCGTGTCCGCAAGGTCAAGCGGCGGCAGCCAGACGGGCCGTCGTCGTCGTCGTCGGCGTCCTCAGCTTCAGCCCTCGCCGACGCTTCTGCTGTCGCTGCCGCCGGTTCAAAAGCCAAGTCAAAGGTGACCAAGGACAAGATCCTCGCTGCTATCACCAAGCGGCGACTGGAGATGCAGACACTGCTCCGCGCTCTGCGCAAGGCCAATCCGGAGGCGTCTGAGGTTCTCGAGCTCTCGGCGTCGATGGAGGGCCTGATGCAGACGCTGAGGAGTGTGGCGTTAGCGTCGGGGCTCACGCTCTCTTCATCAATGTCGTCGTCATCGTCGGTGTCGTCGTCGTTTTCGGCGTCCGTCCCGGCGTCCGTGGTGAGCGATTACGAGCCCGAGGACGGGGCGAGCGAGTCTGGGCTCTTGGCGCGGCGAGGGCTGCAGACCATGTCTGAAGCGCGCTCGGCGGAAAAGGTGGTTATGATGGAGATGGTGACGCCGGTCTCCCCGGCAACACACGCACAGCTTGGTCTCGGATCGGGCGCGTACACGCCGGCGCAGGCGGCGCCTGACCTTCAGGTCTACTTTCCGTACTTCAACGGCCTCTACTCGAACAAGTACCTGCACTCATCGGTAGAAACGATGAACCTAGAACTGCTGCTGCGGCGGGTGCTCGAGCCTGGGCGGTACGATGAGGATCTCCGCGACGTGCTCCTGCTCACCCACCGCCGCTTCCTTCCGACGGTCGACCTGCTGCGGGTGCTCAAGGAGCGGTTCTGGTGCGAGCCGGTGGCGTCGATGCCGCGCAAAGTCTTTGACACTCACCAGGTGGCCATTCGGATGGAGGTTCTCGACTTTGTGGCCGAGTGGGTAGCTGGCCATGCCCACGACTTTGGATCCGACGTGGTATACTCGGCGAGCGACCTGGCGGTTGCAGCGGGCGCCTCCAGGTCGGCTATCAGCTCGTCGTCAGACGAGGACAATGGCTCGGAGGTCGAGCTCGGCGAGCGCGGAAAGCCAGAGATGCGGGCGGTGCTGGACAAGGCTTATCCGTCGCCGCGTGCCGAGTTGGAGGACTTTCTCAAGTTTGTGGCTGGCGCGGTGCCATCGCACAATCTCGCGGCCGAGGTTATCCAACGCGCCGATGACGTGCTCGGTGAGCTGCAGCGAAGTGTGGCAGCATTTGAGCGTGTGGCGGCCGAGCCGTGCACCGTCTACAATGTGGCCGGCATGCGCGAGCAGACACCTGCGCCGATTCTCCCCTCCGGCAATCTGCACTCGCTCAACCGGATTCTGCAGCTCTCGCCGCTGGAGCTTGCGCGCCAACTGACATACCACGACTACGCCGTCTATCGCAGCGTCCGACCAAGTGAGTTTCTCAAGAAGCAGCCGCGTGCGGCGCTCGACGCACTCACGGCGCGGTTCAACGCGACTGAGGCGTTTGCGGCGTCGCAGATTCTGCTGACCCGGCAGCTCCGCCAGCGAGTGTTGGTCATCTGTCGACTCATTGACTCTGCACGAGCCTGCAAGGCGCTCGACAACTACCTCTCGTGCTTTGCCATCACGACGGCGCTTGTCAAGACAACCGTGTCGCGACTGACGCACACGTTTGAGCTCCTCCCGCAAGACTATCGCGACAGCCTCGCGGAACTGGAGCGGCTCATTCAACCGCCGTGGCTCGAGTACCAGCGCGTGCTGCGATACGTCGCCGCGCCTGCTGTACCGTACACCGGGCCGTTTGAGAGCAAGCTTGCGGCGATTGAGGCCAACATGGAGAGTTTTGACGAGGGCCTGCTCGACGTCTCCAAGTTTGAGGCCATTTCCAAGGAGATCAGCGCCGTGCTGCGGTGGCAGACTGCGCCGGTCTACGCCATTCAGCCGGTGACCATGGTGGAGAAGTTCCTCCAGTTCTCCCCGGGGCTGACCGACAACCAGCAGCTGGACGCGTCGAACGCACTACAGCCGCGGGCGCATGGCAAGAGTACGACTGAGAGCCAGCAGGCACGGATGCGGTCAGGAACGTTCAAAGAGCTCAACGCAGCGAGCATGTCGGGCGAGGACAAGTCGATTGCAGCCGAGGCGCTAGACGCTGCGGCGGCGTTGCTGGACCCGTTCTCGGCGCTAGGCTCTGACTCGGATGATGGCGAGGTGGAAGTCGAGTCGCCACCGGAAATGGCCAACATTGTCAAGCCGGTCTTTTCCGAGACCGGGACGTCGCTGACGGTCCGGTCGCAGGCTGCCGAGTTCCCGGAGCCGTACACGATCACAGCGCCGCCACCGCTCTCTTCGCTGGACTCGGTCCACGTGTTAGAGATTGCGCGCCAGATGTCACTGGTGGCGTTTGACCTGTACTCGGCTATTCCGGAGGAGCAGTTCTTTGCGGCTGTAGAGGCGCAGCCGGCGCCGGCTGTGGAAGCCTTGCGTGCGCGGCACGCGTTTGAGCGGCAGTGGGCGGCTTCGATGCTGCTGCGGTACGACGCGGCCAAGATGGATCTTGACTCTGAGCTGGAGTCGCGGGCGCACCGGCTATGCATGCTGCTGGACATTGCTGCGTGCTGCCTACTGCTCAACAACTTTGGCTCTGTCGAAGCCATTGTCTCGGGCCTGCTCCGGCCGGGTTCGCCGGTCCAGCGGCTGGAGCATACCTTTGCGCTCCTGCCCGAGGCGTACCGGTCGCAGCTCGAGATCTTTCGACACCTCATTTCCAAAACCAATCCGCGGCTGTACTTTAAGGCTGTGAAGAAGGCAACGCCGCCTGTCGTGCCGCTGCTCGCGCCTCACTTGCGGGCCATGCAAATGGTGCGATCGGAGCAGGCCGAGTACCGGACGCACCCGGTGACGCTCAAACACCTCTCGATGCTTGCGTCGTACAGCGAGTACCCGTACCGGCTGCACATTGTCCCAGTTGTGGCCGAGTTTGTGACCAATGCTGCGCTGCTAATGGATGTCAAGGACCAGGCGCGCGCCTCGCTCCTGGTCGAGCCGCCGGGCTGGTCGCCGCGGAACCTGGTCATGAACCTTCTCTTTCACCGGCACGCCAAGTTCAAGCACGAATCGGACGTTCCGCACCTCTTGCCGTCCCACTCAAAGTCTGGTCCTGGCGGCTTGGACCTGCCGCACTCGTGGTCGTCGTCATCGTTTGTCCTTGTCGGGCAGCCGCAGGCGCCCAAGACAGCCGGCCGCAAGCGGCACAGGTTCAAGCCGGGCAAGCGCCACTCTAGCCGGGCAAGCAAGCGCGGCTTCCTGTTCTGGTGATATGGCTAGACTCGCGCGAGAAGCACTCACGCTCACTTGCTGCTGCTACTGCCGCCGATCGATGTAGCGGTCGTCATGGGCTCGCCCCGAGACGTCGGTAAAGTTGACGGCGTGGTGCATGAGAACGAGCCGGGTGGCGACGGTCGAGACTGTGGCGGCAGCGACGAAGCCAACGAGCCATCGCCTGGCTGTTGGCGTCGCTTTCTTGTACAGCGTAACTCCGATGTGCGCCAGCGGGGCGCCGAGAACCGGACCGAGATAAAGCCACTGTGGAGCGCGCCGAGGTTGTTGTCTGGTCTCCATGTAAAGGTGGTGATTGGTTGCTGTGGGTGCAGAGCGGCGAGTTCCGGTGGCCGAAACGGACGCCGTTTTATGGCTGCTTGTGACGCGTTGGCAGCGCCGAGAGTCATCCAGTGGTTCGGGCAAGGGGGTGGGGGTAAGCAGGTGGAAGGGGGAATGTGTGTTCCTGTGCGTGTGTTGGGTGTTTGGGGGGGGGGGGAGGGGGCGCCCGAAGGCCGGGCAACACAGTGTTGCCCTGGGGCCAGCGGCAAGGCTTGCGATGGCACGGCACGGCGATGGTGGGCGATGGCGGGTGAGGGAGGATCACGGCTTGGGTGGCGGCGGCGTGGTGGAGAGCATGGTGACGATGTCCGGGTGGTTTGCGAGCGGATGATCGGGGGCGGAGAGGCCGTCGGCGACGAGCTTGGCGGCGTACTTGGCCTCGTAGCGGCGCATGATCGAGGCAACCTGGTTGTCGTTCTCTGTGGAGAGAAGCTCGGTCTTGATGGTGAGCATGCCGTTGGCGTTGCCAAAAACGACGTCGGTCAGGTGGCGGTCGCCGATCATGGCGTATGAGGCCAGGCCGTCGTCGCTTGCGTCGGGCAGGCCAAAGTGGGCCTTGAGCGCGTCGGCGCCATCGGGCTTCTTTCCACCGTGCTTGAGGACCGGGATGCCGAGCATGGCCGAGAGCGAGTCAGCCTCGGCAAAGCCAACATCGTCGGCGGATCCGGCCGAGTTGGAGAAGACAACGACGTTGTCCGTGCCAAAGGCCGACAGAGCGGCGCGGACCGAGTTGACCAGCGGGAGGTAGACAGTCCGCGAGTAGGGAAGAGTGATTGTGTTGTCCTTGTCGAGGACCACGCCGCGGACACCTGCCGATGCCAAGGTCTTCCAATCGATGGCCTTGATGTCTGTGCGGGTTGCGGCGGAGCGATGGCGTGAGTATGCGTAGAGAGTGTAGTCTACATGATCATGGTGGGCATGACGATCACGGTGATCACCATCACTATCACCATGATCATCACCATGATCCATGGTCATCACCATCACTACCACCATCACTACCACCATGATCATCACCATGATCCATGGTCATCACCATCACTACCACCATCACTATCACCATGATCATCACCATGATCCATGGTCATC